AAAAATCTTCATATCCACAATCTGCACTTTTCTTTGTATAGCTAACACAAATTACCTCATCTTTAGGAAAAGACAGCACAAAACCAGCAAGTTACTCAACTAAAAAGTATTTCTTTGTCATTTAAAACATCAATATTCCTTTTAAATAATGCCTTTAAAGGCCAGCAGGTGGCGTGGTGTTTAAGGGCACTGGACTCCCACATGGCTGACCGTGGTTCAAGTCCTGGACCTGGTCGCTTGCTTTCTCACTTTCTCTCTCTCTTGTCCTTTCTCTAATTCTGGTAAAATTAAAATGAATAAATAAGTAAATAAAGTTAAATAAAATAATACTTAAAAAAAATAATGCCTTTGGTCTAAAGCGAACAATTTATATGTACTTGCAAGTCACTATATAATAATGGAGGTTCCATAATAAACAACATTTTCAGATTTTGTTTAATTTGGTTGTAAAGTGGTCTTTGGTAAATAAGAGGTAAGTTTTCTGTGTTGGCAAATGCTTTTGAAAACCCTATAATACCCTCTTTTGCGGCCATCGCTGGAGCGGCAGTGGCCAAAATGAAGTTTAATCCTTTCGTGACTTCTGACTGAAGCAAGAACCGTAAAAGGCATTTCAATGCACCTTCCCACATTTGAAGGAAGATAATGTCTTCCCCCCTTTCCAAAGAGCTGAGGCAGAAGTACAATGTGCGATCTATGCCCATCCGAAAGGACGATGAAGTTCAGGTTGTGCGAGGACACTATAAAGGGCAGCAAATTGGCAAAGTGGTCCGAGTGTACAGGAAGAAATATGTCATCTATATGGAGCGGGTACAGCAGGAAAGGCTAATGGCACAGCGGTCCATGTGGGGATTCACCCCAGCGAGGTGGTTATCACTAGACTAAAGCTGGACAAAGACCACAAAAAGATCCTTGAATGGAAAGCCAAGTCTCGCCAAGTAGGAAAGGAAAAGGGCAAATATAAGGAAGAAACAATCAAGAAGATGCAGGAGTGAAATAATCTTATATACCATTCTTATTAAAAACTGGTAAAATGAAAAAAAAAAAGAAAACCCTATAATAGAAAAGAAAGATTTTAAGATAGAAACTGTTGTATATCAAATAACTCAAAATATTTTGTTCTCATATCACTTGCAACAAATCTAAAATTTCCAAATCTGGAAATGATGTACCATAACTAGTTACTTTTTAAACAAATAAAGCTCTTTCAAGATTATGCATCATCTTTGCAGATACATAATCATATTTAGAAGCAGGTTGGTCTATCTGAATTGCCTCAACGCATATGTGTACAAATCACCTGAGAAGACGATAGGATCATATGCTACAATACCTCTTATTATCAGTAATAAGAAAAAGTACCTTGTCACATAAAATATATTAAATAGACTTAGACCACCATTTAACAGATTAGACATATTTTCATTACTGTTTCATTTCTTTCCTATTTAACTCTCAAACCAAGGTTTAAGTTTTACCAAAAAGGTTCCTTAAACTTCACTAAACAGTATTACTATTAATCTATCAAACATTATGGCAAATAATCTTTGAAGCTAGATCAGATATGAAAACATTAGAAATTATTATTTTATTTTTAATATTCATGTTTTAAGAACAGACATAACTCACCTGGTAAATGACAGGAATAGTCATGTAGAATGATACGTATCTTTATACATTAGTCATGTAGAATGACATGTATCTCTATACATTTATATTCCAAGACTATCTCTGTTCTACTTGAACCATGAGAGTCTTTATTTTTATTTTCCCTTTATAATGCACAAGATTTTCTTATAAATGTTTGTATGAGGCATGCTCATAGAAGACCAGTCTAAATTATTGTTCATATGGTAGCCATTGTACAATACTAAACAGACATGAAATATAACTCATGAAAGGGGAGACTTGGTTTATAAGCTACAGAACATGCTGTCACAACTCTAAAAGCTAAATAGTAACATTTTGCAAAAGAAAAAAGTTCTAACTTTTTATTTCTTACCTTTAAAAGCTTTCACACCAAGATTATATCTGATCATCTTATAAAGTTGGCTAATGATTTTAAAAATGCATGTCATAGGGGTCAGTAGGTGGCGTGGTGGTTAAGGTGCAGGATTAACATGGCTGACCAGTATGAATACAGACCAGTGACTTGGGAAAAAAAAAAATCACAACAGGCATGTGTGCTTGCATGCCCGATATCCTGAGAGGAGAATGGAGGAGAAGGGTTTGCAGTGTGGCCATTCTCCTGGAGGGTGATTTCTCACTCTCCCTCTCTCTCTGTCTCTCTCTCCAGTGAGCACATGTACCCTAAAGCAAAAACCAAAAAAGTATATTATATATCAATTTATAAGGTTAAGTACATATTCAATAATTTCCTTCATAATTTAAAATTCTTTACTAAATTACAATTCCTGAATTGAAAAATAAAAATTGCAGTGCTCCTTTTTCTAGAAGTAAAGCACAACTCAGAGTATGTTCAGCTCCAGAATATGCTTAAAACTTAAATAACAGAACAAAAGACCTTCAGCAGAATACTTTTAAGGCAATCTATAAGCAAATGTACTATACTGAAACACGACCAGAAAGATGAATGTGACTCAGTTATGTTACTCCTCTCTTTGAAACAGAAAACGCTGGTTTGTCCCCAGGGTTTGTCTAGAAGGCAAGGATAGTTACAGAATTTTATTCTGGGGTCAGGAGATAGTGTACCAGAAAAGCAAGTGAATCCACATGGAAAAGATACCAGGGTGATGTCTCAGGATCTCCCCGATCACACTGAGCATGCACATGCCTGAGAAAATAGCTGGCTGGGACTAAGTTAAGATCACAGAATGAGGACGCAGCTAGGGGTGTCTGTCTGTCTGTCTGTCTCTCTCATGGAAGAAATAAACTTAAAAAAAAAACTTAAAAGATGTATAGGATTAGATTGAAAATTTTCTCTTATTTGTTTTCTCTTACATCTATTTATACAAAAAATATCCTCAATCTATATGTCTAGAACATAGTTTTATTTCATTCAATATATTGAACCTTGTGTGTAAATCAGATATTTTTTCTTTCTCTTTTTCTTTTTCTTTTTTTTTTGGAGAGGTTTTTGCTATAGGGCGCGTGTGCTCACCAGAAAGACAGAGAGACAGAAAGTGAGAAATCAGTCCCCAGGTGGGATGGCCACACCGCAAACCTTTCTCCTCCATTCTCCTCTCGTTTGAAACAGAAAACGCTGGTTTGTCCCCAGGGTTTGTCTAGAAGGCAAGGATAGTTACAGAATTTTATTCTGGGGTCAGGAGATAGTGTACCAGAAAAGCAAGTGAATCCACATGGAAAAGATACCAGGGTGATGTCTCAGGATCTCCCCGATCACACTGAGCATGCACATGCCTGAGAAAATAGCTGGCTGGGACTAAGTTAAGATCACAGAATGAGGACGCAGCTAGGGGTGTCTGTCTGTCTGTCTGTCTCTCTCATGGAAGAAATAAACTTAAAAAAAAAACTTAAAAGATGTATAGGATTAGATTGAAAATTTTCTCTTATTTGTTTTCTCTTACATCTATTTATACAAAAAATATCCTCAATCTATATGTCTAGAACATAGTTTTATTTCATTCAATATATTGAACCTTGTGTGTAAATCAGATATTTTTTCTTTCTCTTTTTCTTTTTCTTTTTTTTTTGGAGAGGTTTTTGCTATAGGGCGCATGTGCTCACCAGAAAGACAGAGAGACAGAAAGTGAGAAATCAGTCCCCAGGTGGGATGGCCACACCGCAAACCTTTCTCCTCCATTCTCCTCTCGGGATCTTGGGCATGCAGGCACAGGCTCCCGGTTTAAGTTTAAGCCACCGGGTCCGGGACTCGAACTGCAGTCAACTACATGGGAGTCCAGAGACATAGCCATTACGCTAACTGCTGGTCCCTAAATCAGATATTTTTAAAACAGAGTTTTGTCTTGGATTAATAAAAATGTACCATTTATAGTTATTTGTGTACTCCTCATGGTAATAATGTAATAATTTGATTAACTGCTTTATATTCATTTCCTAATTAATTTATTTTTGGCAAGTCCATTTATGGATAGGGTAACTTAAGATTTGGAGAGATCAAGCACAGCCACAGAAGAAAAAAATCACAGTTAAATGGAGTAACTCATTCAAACCTAGGCTAATCAAAATCTATAAACCTAAGTACTATTATTTTAAAAGAACTGGACAAACTGTAATCTTCTGGAGTTGTGCCCTAAAATGTGCTTTAGATAGCTGGTGGTTTGAGAAGTACACCATCACACTATTCTGCCTCCCCAAGATTGCTGTTTTGTTTTTTAGGGTTTTTGTTTTGTTTTGTTTTGCCACAGGAGGCCTGCATTAGCCTGAGACACACAGAAAGAGACAGAGAGAGAGAGAATGAGAACTCTCTCACCCTCCCCACTCCCCTGTGGAAGATGGCCATGCTGCAATCCCTTCTCCTCCATTTTCCTCCTGGGATTCTGGGCACCCATGCACTCACGCCTGACATAACTCTCAAGCTGTTGCATCTGAGACTTGAACTGTGGTCAGCCATGTGGTAGTCCAGTACTCCAACCACCACGCCACCTGCTGGCCCCCAGGATTGTTGGTTTTTGAATAACTGCTATTCACTTCCATAAATCCTCTCATGAGATAGTAAATGTTTGACGGTGGTGTGGAGAATTAAAAGAACATAGTAAACACGCCTCCTGCCCTCAAGAGGCGTACAATCTAAATATACTACTTCAAATATTGGAAGAGAATAAAGTAACTGAATTGGGCATGTTTAGTAAGGATGACTTTTCAGAAGTAGTTAATATCTTTGATTAGGGTCTTGGTGGAAGGGAAAACAGAAATTGACAGAGATGAAATGAGAGACTAACCTGGATACAGAGGTTGACAGAATAAAACTAGTGGAGTGGTTTCATACCCTTCTTTATTTAAAAGGACAATTTAAAATATTTCAATTCAGTTCTCTCTGAAACACACACAAAATTACTAACCTTCTACATTCATGGCTTCTCTTAGAACCTGAAGTTTCTTTTGTCTCTCTCGGATTCGGTCCAAAGCACTTGATATTGCGGAGGAAGTGGGCGATTCTCGTGTAGGATGTATTGGATCCATTTTCTGGGGGCCAAAGATATCCAGGGCTATGCTTCCATCTGAATATCTTGACTCTTTTTTTCTAGGAGCAGTCAAAGTCCGCACTGTTACTGCCTCAGGGTGACAGTATCTGTGTCTACCAGTCTCTCCAGAAGACAAGTCTTTGTCAGCTGTACAAAGCAAGTCCATGGATGAAGCCCAGATTTTCTTCTTGGGAAGCACATCAGTTCCGGAGATAATTTTATTTCCTGGACCACTAGTTTTGAACTGGTAAAGGGAGCAAGTGTTTTCAGAATCTTCATGCCCAGAATTATTATCGGATGAAATGTCTTTGAAATAATCTTCCTCATCCTGTGTGTCTCTGACGGACAGAAATCCCATAGATTTACTAAGCCCTTTGTTAAGAAAGGTCTGATGAGAGAATGGAGGCTTGTGTGTGTCTAGTACATCAGAAGTAGAGCTTCTTCCTGGAATGATAAGAATCTATCATGTATGCACAGAATTAAAAAATAATAATAAACTGGAATGTAACCCATTATTTATTTATTTATTTTTAGAGGTTTTTGCCTTAGGGTGTGTGTGCTCTCCAGAGAGAGAGAGAGAGAGAGAGAGAGAAAGAGAATGACAGGGAAAGTGAGAAATCACCTCCCAGGGGGAATGACCATACTGCAATACCTTCTCTATTCTCCTCCTGGGATCTTGGGCACGCATGCACATGTACCTGGTATGAGTTTTAAGCCACTGTGTCGGGGATCAAACTGTGGGAGTCCAGCGACGTAGCCAATACACCATTTTCTGGCCCCAGTAACCCATTACTGATAATGAAAGTAGTGGCAGTTTCCTAAATTCTCCAAACAGAAGATCAGAGCTTAAATGAGATGGTGATGGCAGTGATGGTGGAAAAGAGATGTGATATTTTATGTTTTCATAGTCCAATATCTCCTACCTAATAAAAGTCTAATAATCAATATAGAACTTACTCGAGTGATATTACTTTCTATTTGTCAAAGACGAATTATTTTGTTTAAAAAAACAAAAGTTTCTGATACTATCCAGTTTGGAAGAATATTAATTACTCATAAATGATTTGGGGTAATAATTGAATGGATGTAGAGTATACTCCTTTAATTTCTAAAGGTATAATTCAAACATGTATCACTCCAGTATGCCCTGGGATAGCCTTGCATTTTAAATAAATATAGTTAAAAAAGAAACAAATTCTTGCTATATTCTGAATGGAAATAACACTGTAGCACTGGGAATTCTTGAGTATTAAGGCCTAGCATATGCACAAGTGCCTAAGATCCGACGGGCTGAACAACTAGAAGAGGGAGCTGCAGTGTGACTAGACCCTGTGAAGGGTGCTCATCTCTCTCGCTAAAATGTGTGCACACATGCTGTGTCATGAATAAAGAAAAAAAGTTTTCGGAAAGTGAATTCCTTGCAGAATGGCAAGTAATTGCTTAGTGCAGATGAGATTCAAATACTGTTTTTCTTGTACTTCATCTTTTCCTGAACATGGATCTACTTAAGTGCAAATAAGAATTATTCAGGGCCAGCAGATGGCATGATGGTTAAGGTGCTGGACACTCCCACATAGTCAACCACGGTTCAAGAACTGGACCTGATGGCTTGCTTTCTCACTTTCCCTCTCTCTCTGTCTTTCTCTCTCTCTTTGTGATTTTCTGGTCAAATTAAAATAAATGAATGAATGAATAAATAAAATTAAAAAAAAAAAGAATTACTCTCATATTTGAGGAGAACACCAGGACATAAACCACACCATGTGAAGACATGGACTGTCAGACTCTAGCTTCTAACCTAACCTAATGTATCTTGTTACACTCCTCTTTAACTTGTCAAAGATGTTACTTAGGTTAATTTCGTTGCTGTCTGTTTATCTCATTACTTCCCCCTTTCTATCACAAATTCCCTTTAGTAAATGAACATTATCTAATGTCTCTCATAATCAAACCGAAGCAAACCTACTCCATCCATTACCACATTTCCCTCTAGCTAGTGCTGTCTCCAACGTTTTTTTCACTAATTATCTACCGACTAGTCAGTTTCTAAGCACCCTACACCTTGGCAACTCTCACTATGCATCACCTATGCCTTCCATGTCACCAAATCCAGTGGACACTTTGTATCCATATTTCAGTTTTCGACAACAACTGATCAGGGTGATCATCTCTTAAGGAATCACTTTTCTCTCTTTACAAGCCTGGTTTCCTCCTAGTCCTCGGATTGCTTGTTCTTAGTCTTTATTATTTCCTCCTCTTCTACTAGCTACCCAAATGTTAAATTTCCTCAGGTATTCATTTTTAGAACTCCATTTTTTTTTCATTTTTTCCTTATCTATTAACAGAACATTAAATATTATTTATACTCTGGTAACTCCTAAATGTGTATTCTTGGTATCAACCTCTTTTGGGAACTTCAGTCTTACATAATTGGAACTTCCACTAGCATACCACAAAAGCAGCTGATATTGAACATGCTTAAAAATGATGCTGCTTCTCACATCTAGAACTATCCATTCTCACAATAAATGACTCTATTACCCAACCAATTACATGAAACAGAAATATGGACACCATCCTTAAATCCTTCCCCCTCCTTAGTACCCAAAAGCAATAAAAAGATCTGGCTACGTAAATTCTCAAAGATATCTTACTTCATGTGATTATTTTCAATTCCATTGCCATCATCCTTTTCTAATTAACATTATTGCTTGACTGGATTACTGCAATGGCCTCCAGAGAGACCTCCTTGTTTCTTCTACTTTCCCCTTCCAACTTTGCTCTTTAGCAGCCAAAGTTATCTCTTTAAAAAGTAAATTCCAGGGGCTAGCAGGTGGAGTGGTGGTTGGGGTGTTGGACTCCCACACAGCTAACTGTGGGTTGAGTCCTGGACCTGGAGGCTTGCTTTCTCACTTTTCCTATCTCTCTATCTCTAATGAGCACATGGGCCTTAAAACACATTATTTTAAAAAATAATAATAATAAATAAAAATTAAATAAATATATATTTTTTAAAGTAAATCCATGGGCAAGCCCATTGTGTGGTAGTTAAGCTGGCCAGATCTACACATGTTCAACTGCATAGTTTGAGTCCTGGACCCAGTGCTCAAACACACTCCAAGCATGTGTGCATGTGTGCCCAGAATCCTAAAAGGAGAAAGAAATGGAGAAGGGATTGTGGTTTGATTATTCCCCATGAGGAGTGCATTCTCACTTAGCACTCTGTCTCTCTCTCTGACGCTAGTACATGTACCCTTTGGCAAAATTTAAAAACACACACATGTGGGGACTAGCAGCTGGCATAATGGTTACATCGCTGGACTCCCACGTAGTTGACTGTGGTTTGAGTCTTGGACCCTGTGGCTTTGAACTCACACCAGGCGCACATATGTGTGTGCCCAAAATCCCAAGAAGAGAATGGAGAAGGGATGGCAGCGTGGCCATCTCCCTGGGAGAGTGTTTTCTTGCTTTCTGTCTGTCTGTCTCGACAGTGAGTGCATGCAACCTATAACAAAACAAAACAAAACAAAACACAGCACACACACACAGACACAATGTACACAAACTAAATTCCACAACACTATTGTCCCACTTAGCAAGTCTTAAAGGCATATTACCGTGCATTAAATAAAATTTAAATTTCTTTTGGGTCTGCCAGTTGAATCCTTTTTAGCCTTACCATTATTTTCCTTGTTTCACCCAGGCTACAGGTCTCTGTTAATCTCTCTTACACATTCAGGCCTTCATACCTATTTTCTCTACCCTACAGGCACTACTCTCAATTTTCTCATCATTAGTTGCTTCATATCCTATAGTTTTATTTTAAAGATGACTTTTTCAAAAAAGACTGCTCGACTTCATTGTAATGTGAATAGATCACTTTCAAAATGTATTACGTGTTTATTCCATTTGTAACTGGTATATTTTGCCAGTCTCTTTTAGGTCATTAATATTTACTAACAATATACTAAGAGGCCACAGTATCTTAAGAGAGCCATGTCTTCTCACTAGCCATGTGAAGCCTTAAACTAATTACTAATTACTAATAAGGCGCCTCTCAGGTAACTACTACTTTCAAGATGCTGGGTTTTTATTATCTTAAAGAAAATTAATTAGGTACCAAAATATTTATTAAATATATTTATTAAAAATCCAGGAAGTTATCTTTTTCTTTTCTTTCTTTCTTCTTATTTTATTTATTGATTTTTTAAAAAGATTTTTGCCATAGGGCATGTATACTTGTAGGAGAGACAGAGAGAGAGAGAGAGAGAGAGAGAGAGAGAGAGAGAGAAAAGCAACCTCCCCCCCCCCTCAGGGAACAGCCACATCATAGTCCCTTCTCCTCAAACTTGGCATGTTTTTCAAACCACAGAGTCCAGGATTCTAATCGCATAGTCAGCCATGTGGGATCCAGCACCTTAACCACTATACTGTCTGCTGGCCTGCAGGAAGTTATCACTTTAAATTCTATAAAGCAGTACAAAGTTAAAGTAATATTAACTCATTGAAAAGTTCACACTAACTTTCTATTCAGATCCTACAAATTATGCTGCATTTTTCTATGGCTTAATTTGCTCTATAGATTTGAAAATCATATTTTAATAGCTAACGTAAATGTCATGATAATTTCTTACAAAAGATGACTTTTGAATCATAATTAATATGTCCTCTAGTGACCAGAAGAACCAAGAAGCATATAGTATTTTTTATAACAATTCAGTTCTGGTGATTACAAATTTTAATAAATAAAATGTTGGTAAAAAGAGCATCATTGTGGCTTTATGTCACTAAGGCTTTAGAGAACAAAATTCACTAATCTAGGAAACCGAAATGAAAGTTCAAATACAGAATCTGGCCAGACAAATGAGGAGAAACAGGGAATTCTACGCTCACATTAATTATATGCTTAAGTCCATTATACCAGTGAAGATAATGCCCCATTGTTAACACTAATGTCACTTAATTAGTATTTGAGACACATGAAATGCAATTTCTTCAACTGCTTTCCAAATCTTTCTAAACATGCGTCCAGACTATTACAAGTATTTTACCTAATAGGCAACAATAAACAGCACCGAAATCATTAGGTACATCTAATAGCTGTGCTCACTATTCATTTTGATTACTGGAAACAGAGCTAATTTTTTTATTTTTCCTGAAAACAACACTATTGTAGCTACTCTTAACTCAAGTGGAACATTCCTTGGTATTTCCCCATCGTGGCAATTAATATTTGCTCCTTCCACTACAGTCGCAGAGCATGCTGGACCTCTATTGGGGCACCCGTCTCACTGTTAAAATGATCCATTATATCATATTATCTGTCTTCACTCCCACTCACTTCCTCCACCCTACCCCCAACCACAACACAGAACTGTGCTTTACTTGATTTTGTATTTATAGTTCCAAAAGAACTTTGTAGAATGGGTTGGTTACACAACATT